GTAGGGGGCAAGGATAGCCAGCCGGGGGAAGGGGCAGCGTTACGTTTGGGATTTGTTACGGTTCACGCCGCAGAGCACGGCCGTCACCACAACCCCTCCTCCTCCCTCTCCTCCTAACCCGCGCAGCAGAGCCACACTCATACCCCTTGTGTAGTACGACCTCACGCAGCTAACCGTCAGGCCCTTTGCCTCCCCGACTCTGCAGGCCGTCCGCTTGTGAGTGCAGTGCGCCGCCATCGCCCCGTCCCGTGGAGTGGAATGAGCCCGGCCCGGAGTCTACTGCCTTGCTCGCCGGGCAACTGTCGCCATACCAAAATAGCGTGGAAAACCCAAATATTTCGCGCTCGACCCAACTTTACCCCAACTCAAAGAGAAAAAACAAAATTCTGGTTGAGAATTTTTTGAGGTTCTCGGTTGCGCTTGAGAGTTGGCAAGGTTTTTCTTGGTGACAGATTCGAAATTCCCCACCAACCGACTTGAGATAGGTACAGTGTACCGTAGTGTCGTCGTGGGTTCTCCAGAGCATGGTGTAGATATATACTGCCCCTCTCCACCGTGTTTCACAGATTTGCTTCCCACTTTAGTCGGTCCTCTCCCCACGTTTCGACGGATGTATCGTTCCATTTGTGGCGCGTCGAAAGTGATTCGGAAACAGATGAGTGTCGCGACCCGTAATGCCTCCGATTTGTTCTCTTGCGCTCGCCGGTGTGTGTGTGTGGGTGGGTGGGTGAGAGAGAGAGGGAGAGAGAGGGAGAGAGAGAGAGAGAGAGAGAGAGAGAGGGGGGGGGGCAATTGTACAGGAATCACTGCACGTCCGACCCCCGGGAACGCGGTGGGGCCGTGCCCCCCGCTCGCCAGCGTGTTCTCCCGCTGTAAAAAATGAAACCTTACGACCCGGGAGGGAGAGGGGGTGGGGGGGGCTCGCTCGCAGAGAGTTGGGCGCGCCGCGGCTACCACGAGGGGTGTAGGCTTATAGTACGAGAAACTCTCCGCAACGGTCATAGGGGAGGCTTGTACAGCAGTGTATTTGCGCGCCAAAATGACCGACTCGTCGTTCTCTGGACGCTGAGTTTCAGGCCGACCTGGCGGAAGGAGCAATGCTGCTTGTGGTGGTGGCCGGTGCGGGGCGCGGAGCGCGGCGGCGGAGGGCAGCAAGCAGCTCGCCCCGCTGCTGGCCGAGGAGAGCGCCCAGCGCCGTTTTCCAACTCAAACAAAACATCCTCGGCCGAAAGGCACAGCAAACAGCGCGGCTGCTGCTGTGGCTATCTCTGCCTCGGGTCTACTCGGGAAAAGGGCGGGGGGGGGGGGGACCTTACCTGAACCTGATATGCGCGCCGCCCACCCCCGCACCCCTCTCCCGCGCAGGGGAGAGTTCTCCGCCAGACAAATAAACAAAAAAAAAAGAAAGAAACGCGCTTTAGAACCGTTTTAATTACTGTTTAATAATAAATGGAGTGCACAACCTCCTCCCTCTTCTTTGATGATGTCCCGGGCCGGGTGCCGAACTGAAGCACAACTTGGCACACACGTCCCAGCCTGGCCGGCCCTCCCACCACGCCCCGCCACGCCCCGCCACGACCACATGTTTCACACCCCCTGCTCCCCGGTATTGACGGTCCATTTGTTACATATGCGTCGCGCCGGGAAACACGCAGAGAGCCGAAAGCGGTAGCGTACAGTCGGCGGCAGACGCAACGGGGGCCCGGAGCTGCAGAAGGCGGGCGAAAAAGAATGTGGCATGTCAGCTGCCAAAGCGTTCACGTCTCGAGCGGGGGTTCTTAAGGACTGAATAAAATGATAAAAATTCGCTCGCACCGACTGAGGCAGCAGGGGCCGGGCCTGCCCGCGGGCTTGGCAGGAAATGGGCCGAAGTGTTGCTCGTTCTCCTCGAGACACTCGGCGGGGCGGGGCGGGGCGGGGCACCTCTTCGCCTCTCGTGCTACGTGCTCAGCCAGGGGCCTAGCTGTCGCGCACGGAGTCACGACGGCACGGAGGCGCAGCGCGGCGCCCCGCCCCCGGGCTGGGCTGGGCTGAGCGCTGCAGCTGGTCGCGGAACGCCGCGCCCCGCCGCGCCCCGCCCCGACTCCACTGCGCCACCTTACGCACGCCCCACCTTAACTGTCACCCTTGCCTTGCTCCGCTCTGCTCTACGGCCACCAGGGTGATCATCGCGACCGCGCTGTATGCGACGGCGATAACCAGGAACGACGACACAGGAAACAGAAATGCGCCGACCAAGAGGTCCGCCCGTGTTTGCCTGGAGTATATGAGAGAGTTCTCTGCCCCCTGTCTGAGAGGAGCTGCAGCAGCAGCGGCCCCAGAGCACTGTTGCTTCGCCGCGGTGGCGCGGAAAGGGACAAGAGGGACCAGGGAGAGATGGAGAGTGCGAGAGAAAGGGGGAAAAGGGGGAGGGGGGGGGGCGAAGAGACTCGGGAGTAGCCTCGCCTGCTCTTTCTCTCTCGGGCGCGCTCGCTGCGGTGCGCCACCACGGCCGCCCTCCTCTCTCCCACAGTGCACGCCTTGAAGGGCCTGCCGGTGGTCCGGCCGCAGGGTGGCCGTTACCTGGACGCTGCCACCTTAATAATGCACTACAAGGGGGAGGGGGGAGACCCTACTGCAGGTGAAACCAATCCTACCCCTCCTTTCCTCCAGCACCACCACAACCACCAAAAGGCAGATGGTAGTTCACACTATTTCTCACCGGTGGCTCACACCGAGGAAACGCAGGCACCTGCTGGTTTCGCGAAAGTGAAAATTTCACCTCCTAAATGGTGTTTTGCAGGCCCTATCAGACGCCTAACCCTAATGCCTAACCTTACCTGCATCGCCGTCTTCGGTTTCTCTGCTGCACCAAACTCGTAGGCCACTAATGCGGTAAAATCAGCATCCCTCTTCTCTATTTCCAACTATTTCAACGGAGGGTTCGCGAATTTTCACTGCTTGGATCGGCATCCACACGATCTACACTCGCTGCAGCGCGACTGAAAACCGAGGCGAGAAGCGAGAAGCTGCTTGGTCGGTGTCGGTGGTCGTGCAGTCCCCCCACCTCCACTCCAGAGCCTAAGTCAAGTCGCGCAATCGCGCATCCCAACAGCAAATCGGACGAGTTCAAACCACATCTCGGTTCGCGTGGCTTCTCTTAAGGTAATGCCCGTTAAATTGAATGAAACATCGCCTCCGTGATCTGATTCGGCCGATTGTATTTCTTTTTAAAATTCTACGATGTAGTGTAGCCAACCTATAAAATGACGATGGGGTACGCCTGCTAGGTTAAGTTAGGTTGGGTCCCTGTGCCGTGGTGCTGCGCAGAGCGATGACATTAACTGATCTCCTATTCCAAATTAGATTTGTTTGCATCTATTTGCTATTGTTAATTAGGGGTGGGGGGGAGGAAAAAAATTACATGTTTGATTCACATGGTAGACTGTGCTGCAGAATGTTGTTTTGATTCTACTTATAGCGTAAAAACTCTAAAAACAAAAATAGAAAAACAAGGCTTTTTGTCTCACAACATACAAAACTACACACTTACCCGAATTCTTCCTTGTGCGCTGCAGCTTTTTTCCCCATCTTGATAATGCTTTAAAGATACCCCCCATGGTTTATTTTTTGTATTTATGCAAATGGACACTTTGAAACTAGAATAAAAGGCAGGGATTTCCTAGGATTTTTGCTAGTACAGTTGAACCATCTACAAACATGAAGAAAATTGTGAAATTTTTAGGGACTGATCACACAAGGTTGCTTAGTAGTAGTATGTCCCCTTTTGAGTGTTTTTTGAAGGCCAAAACTTTTTTCATGTTTAATTGCAAGTCTACATATTACTACTCAACTTAGAACACAATTCTGCAGCACAACAATCTTTATCAATAGAAAAACCATGTAAATTTTATAACTTAAAACAAAATAGGAAATTGGATGCATACACTACATTTTGGGGCTCTCATTGTGCAGTTTCAGACCATGGAGAAGTTGCCGGATGAAATGTTGTTGACTGTCATGCATCACCTAGACATCCCCACCCTCCTAACTTGCCGTCTCGTGAGCAAGAGGATCGGCGCTCTTGTCCTTCACCGGGACGTTTGGCGGCAACGGGTGCTCGATGATGAAGACCCCTGGCTGTGTCCAGTGCTGCGGCTCGCGCCATGCCTCGCCGCGATGTACGTGCCAATGACTTTGCCACCAAAACGACACCCGCCGTTCGCCACGACCAGGTGTGCAGTGGCGGAGCTGAGAGTGTACGGACTCGCCGACGATGACGAGGACTCAGACGAAGACGAAGACAACTACTCAGCTGGCCACCTGCATACCTCCCTAGTGATTCGCAACCAGGAGGCGCTCGGCCGTTTGAAGAGCCTTCAAGTTCCCCTGGTCACGGTAGAATTTAATACCAGCAGCTGCGTGCTGTTGGAGACGATAGCGTCCACGACTGGCTTGGAGCGACTGCTGGTTTCGGACTTCCCAGGACAAACTACCGATGCGTTCGTAGAGGCCAGTCTGCACAGCGTCGTGCTCCAGTCGTCTCTGAAGTACTTCGAGTGCGTCCACACCCCGGCGGCGGAGCCCTTCATCACCTTCATATTGGCCGGACACGCCGAAACGCTGACTGAAGTCTATCTCGAGGCCGCCGGTGGTAGCTACGACTACTGCTCGTCCTCCACCTGCTCCATGGCCGCCGCACTGGCTGGCCTCCCTGCACTTCAGCAGCTGACGTGTTCCCCTCTGCCGGGGATGGGGGCGGTGGCGGCGTGCGCGTCGCTGAGACAAGTGGACCTCAACGTGAAGCCGGACATGTGGACCACCATCCCAGCGGCCGCCGAGTTCCTCCGCCGCGCCAGGCACCTGCAGTCGGTCCACCTGCTGTTCGTGGGCGAGGAGCCCTCCGACGTGGGCGTGGGGCTGGTCCTCGCACTCAACCCCTCCGTCCAGCGGCTGGCTATCCGCTGTTATGACGCACCCTCGGGCCACTGTGACCCCCACCTGCAGGCGCTGACCAGCGTGCTGCCCAGGCTGCGGAAGCTGTGGAAGCTGACTGTGCACTCGGACACGATGCCGACCGAGCTGCTTCTGAGCATCAAGCCGGACACCAACCCGGCCTTCAAGAAGCTCTCCCTGTACCCCTCGGCCTCGGGTCGCAAGGTCCTGCCGTGCTTACACGCCTGGCTCCATTTGACTGCACTCAAGAGATTGCTGCGCGTCTTTCGCAACTTGCGAATCAATGTGCACGGTTGGCCCGACTACTGCCCTGATGACAAACCCTGCAAAGGTTGCGCTCTAGGCTGTAAATGCAAGGACTCCTTCGCTCGAATTAAAAACTGTGATTTCTGATTCCTTGTATAACTGTCCGCCCTCATCCAAATCCAAAGTGTCACCTGCTTCCGTTTCATAGACTGCGAGTCCGTTTTGTTTTTATTTGTCCTCGTAATAAAAAAGAAAAATTATGTGCTAATTACCTTGTTAGTTTGCTCACTACTAGAACCTGCCTGCTTACAGCAAGCAAGCGGTGCCATCAACTGGTTAACTGGCAAACGTTAACGACGAAAAAAGAGTGGGGGGGGGGGGTCGTCGGCATTTGGCCGCCAAATGCGGCGCGCCACTGCGGATTTGTTGCGTCGTTATCATGTCGAATGTAAATGCGGACGCGAATGTGTGCGAGTCACGTGATATCACGTGATAATGCGGCACTGTTGACCCTCGCGGGGCGGGGGCGCGCGGAGAGGGGCTTACGTCCGCCGAATCAGCGCTCAAATCCGTTCGCGCTTTTGTCTCTCTCTCTCTCCCTTTCCCAGCGCGCCTCGCCCGTGCGAGTGACAGAGACGGGTTGCAGGGTGGGGGGGAGTGGCTCCCATCTGCTGGGCATTAGGCCGTCGTGGTTTACGAACAGGGACGGGG